TTTTAAAAAAAAAAAAAAAAGAGTCAAAACTATTCCTTTGTTCACCCAAACTGTGTTCCTTTTTTTGAGATGGGGTGGCTTACTGGGGATTCAATCTAGGGCCTTCACATTGAGCTACTTCCCTAAGCCACCCCCCACCCACTTAAATTTTGAGACAGGGCATTTTGGTAAGTCACTAAATTCTAGTTCCCATGGGACTAGAATTCATGATCCTCCTGCCTCAGCCTCCCAAAGAGCTGGGATTACAGGTATGCGCTACTATGTTGAGCTGAACTAAATCTTAACTGCTTAGTTGTTAAAATCTTTCACAACTCTGGGAGGCTAAGGCAAAACAGTCTATCCCAGCATTCAGGAGGCTAAGACAGACTACAATGAATTTGAGGTCAGCCTGGGCTACATAGTGAGTTCAGGGCCAGCCTGAACTACATAGCAAGACCCTGTCTCAGATAAAAAAAACAAATTGGAACATTCAAACCTAGTTTGGGTGACTTAGCAAAAACTTGGTTTCAAAGAAAAGAGCTGGAATGCAGCTTAGTGCAAGGGCTAACTTCACTCTCTAGTACTAGATTTTAAAAAATGGGGTGGGGGTGGAGATATGGGACTATAGCTCAGCAGCACAGAACCTGCCTGGCAAGCATGAGGCCCAGGCAGCCTCCCCAGCACTGGGATTACAGGTATGCCAGGATTCCGGGGCTGGCATGACATGTGGTACCAGGGATCAATCTGGGTCCTTGCACTTTCCAGGCAGGTTCTTAGACCACTGAGCTATCTCCCCAGTCCCCAGGCCTTTTTAAAAAAGCAACACATGGCTTGTCCTGTTTTCCAGGCACTGTGGTAAGAAAATTAGTGTCAGTTACTAAGGAGATGGCTACTGTTAACACACCCATTTTACAGTAACAAAATGGGAGGGAAGGGCTGGTGAGATGGCTCAGTGGTCTAAAGCACCTACTTAGAACAAGCGAAGCTAAAACAAAGCACAGGGACCGCGGTTCAATCCCCAGCACCACATGCCAGCCAGCCCCGCCCCCTGGTGGGCTGAGCTGGACACACACACACACAATAAATAAATAAATGTTAAAAAAAAAAAAAATTTAAAAAAAATGGGAGGGAAGAGTCGGGACAGGCCCAAGTTTATACACTGGTGGCCTGAAAGACTGGGCTAGAATCAGGATCAGAGTCCATAAGCCTGACTCCCTACCCACTTCCCTCTTTCCTACTGCTGCTGTTTGGGTCTGGGTAGGGGTTCTGTTTGTGGCTTGTCCCAACCCAGAAGTTCTCAGGTTTTTTGTTGTAATTTTGAGATGGGACTCACTATGTAGTTTGGGTTGGCCTTGAACTCACTATGTAGTTAAGAATGATCTTAAAGGCATAGCAACCTTCCCACTTTGGCCTCCTGATTGCTAGGATTACAGATGTAAACCACCATGCCACGCCCAGGTTTTAGTAAGACAACATTGTAAATAGCATCCAGGGCCAAGGAGATGGCTCAGTGGAATAAGCGCTTCCCTGGCAAGTGCAGGGGCCTGAGTTCAATCCCTGGAAAAAAAAAAAAAAAAAAAAAAAAAAAAAATGGCATCCAGGGGTCTGGTTAGGAAATTTAATGGTCATCAGAGAGAGAAAGGAGAGAGGCTCTTGGCCACCCAGCCAGGCCAAGAGGAAATGGGTCTGGCCTCTCCCTCTTCAGTATGCATTCTGCAGAGAGCAGACCCTCCCTCTCCAAACTTCCCTGCCTTGGCATCTATACTCCATTGGCATCTATACTCCATTCTTCCTAGAAACTTTTCTGTCTCCTTGGTAAAATGCCTGAGCCCAAAATTTCATTCCTAAGGTCTTAGGTACAGAACAACATGAATGTTAACCATGACAGTTAATTTAGATTTGTACTGTTCAGAGGGATGGGTAGCTCTAGGTACTCCTTCTCCTACAGTCTCCACAGGAAAGCTAGTAGCTGTTCCCTCAAAGCAACTGGGACGACACCCCTTCCCCATCACCAGAAGCATAAGCCCACCTTGGTGTGATGCACAGTCTTGCCGGTGTACTTGGTGAGCAGTGCAGCATACTCCTCTGCAGTGTGCCTGCAGGTACTGAGCCCAATGTTCTGCCCCACGTACTCTTCTGGCCTCTTCAGCAGGCTGAGCACCACAGGACCCAGGTCGCTCACAGCCATGCCATCCATGGGGTTATCACCCATGGGCAAGTCTGTGGGACAGAGAGATGCACTGACAGACAAAGCCTCCTCCAGGTGTCTGAGGCTGTATTACCAGCAGTAGAGTCCACTCCTGTAGAGTCTGGCGTGGGTGGGACCTGCTCTCTTCTTCACCCAGAAAAAGGATTAACCCAGCTGCTTGTTCATATCATTCAAGGGGCCTGAGGTGATGAAGCCTTTCACTGCTTGGTCTACACGTCCCCCCACAGCCTCATGCAGTCTTAGGTGGAGCTTTTCAGAGGTAGCTGGATCTAGTATGTCTGATGCTAGGATTAAAGATGTGATGCTGGGATTGAGTCATATTTTAATGCTAGGACTAAGGGTGCCCCACCCTAGGGTGTGAGTGCTACCTAAGGCCAATTAACCTGGATAGAATATAAAGGACAGAAAAGAGAGTGGCTATGGTCGCTGGCTACTTTGCTGCCTTCTGCCCACCATGAACTGTTTCTCCTCTGCAGTGCCCCTCTACCAAGCTACCCTGCCTTGGAGCCAGCTAACTATGGACTGACAACCCTACAAACTGTGACCTGAAATAAACCTTTCCTCTAACTTTGGTTGTTGGGTATCTGAGTCCAATTCAGAAATATAATGCAAAGTATTTCTGACAACTGCCCAATGTAAAGGTGGGCTATTCATAGTACTGAATTCTACCTGCAGGTAGGCCAGAGCCCCGAAGGTCCTGGCTGAGCTTTATCCCTCAGGTGAAAGTCAAGGATGTTACTGCAGAGGACAAGGAATAGCCATCAGGCACCAACCTCTCCCACTCTGGCCTCTGGTATGTCCTACTCGCATCTACTGACTGGTAGGACACACGTTCATTGGGGTTTCCTTCCAAATTGGGGCCAGTGTACCTATTTCTATATTAACCAGCAGACCCTGAGAAGAGCCAGCTTTACTACTTTGTAAAATCTACAGAACTCCACCATCATCTAAATCTTTTTTGGAGGTGCTGCAGGATACAACCCAGGGCCATGCTCAACTCTACCAACTAACCTATATGTCCAGCTCTCCTTATTTTTGGGAAAAAAAAAAAAAAGTAACAGTAACCATGCTCTTCTCTGTGTAAAGCTGTTCAACAGGCAAAGCATCATATCATCACTGCCACTGATTTCCTCGTTGCCCCCTATGAACATCAGTCGAGGCTCAGTCTCAGGCATGATGCGAGGGAACCAGAGTTTGGGTCCAGAACCATCTGACAAGTCTGCTCATCTATTATAACGCTTCATAGGGTGAGAACTTTCCTTACTGCTCAAGGGGAAGGGCACTTACTCAGCAAGTAGCTCTTTCCATCTGGGGCAGAAAGAAAGAGAGGAAATTCTCAAAATAGCAGGGGAGCCGCACACTAGTCATGGGAACACCGATGTCTCGGAAATATTCCTCCACTTCCCCTTTGCCATCAAAGTGGCCAGCTGCCAACCTCCCAGCTGTCAGCTTCTTAATGTTCTCCAGTCCACTGTAGACCACGTAATGGAGACCAAGGCTCTTGGCCAGATCAGCCAGCAGCTTTCCCTGGTGGACAGAGGACAGACTACAAGGCTAAGAAAACAGATGTGAGTCCCCAGCCATACCCCCTAACTAATGCGCTGATCCCAGACCTGTCACACCTGTGGGGCTAAGATGAAGGCCCATCTACCCAGGAAGAAAATTGCTCTTCCAGATTGATGTTCACACATCATACCACCTCCTTCAACTCAGAACCATAAGTCTTCTACCATCAGGAACTAAGGTCACCTTTCTAGAACATTTTTTTTTGGTGTGTGTGGAACCGGGGATTGAACTCAGGCCTTTGCGCTTGCCAGGCAAGCACTTATTCTACTGAGCCATCTCCCCGGCCCCTCTAGAACATTTTCTTACTCTCAACTGCAGCCTACCATGTGCACCAAGAAAATGTGGACAGTTGTGCTGCCTGGGAGAGGGCCTCACAGAGAACCATCTGACATCCACATCTCATTCTTGCTGGCCTTGGTCTTATCTGGGGAGCTCTGCCAGCTTATTTAGAGAAAAAAGTACTATGAGGGCTGGAGAGATGGCTCAGTGGTCTAAAGCACCTACTTGAAACAAGCTTGGCAAAGCACAGGGACCTC